TCATTTATATTCGGCACTGCGAGGTTACGTACGGACTCAAATGTAATGGGCAACCACGACTACATTTTGACAATTGTACCAGTACCATTTATATTCGGCACTACAAGGGACGGACTCAAATGGTCAACTACAACTACAAGATGCATCATGATGCATGCTTAGACATTTTAGCTCTATTTTTGTTACCACTAATAGGAAGTGTTCTTTTTCGCAAAGACCTTTTGTGTTACAAGTGATATTGTTCACAACTACATCAAACCATCCTTTTCAATATCCTCAAATGTCCTTTCTTCGTAAGATACGGCTTTTCGAAGATCCTCTTTAATTATCTCTACTTTTGTTAATAGAAAGTATTAATTTTTCTTTATCTTAATTTATGAAACTCAATATGGTTTAAACTTGGGATAACATCCTATTCCTCCATGAACTGTATTGTTGCTGATTATTTATACATGAAATATTGATCCCGGCTTAAACACACATGAACTCTTTTTTATTTTATTTACTACATAATCTTATACAACTTGGTCAATTCACACAAAACCGTTAATGGAGTCAATTTTTCGTTCACGGGGTTAACTCTCTGTTAACGGAGTCCGACGTGGCTAACCATTCCGATCTGATAAAAAAAAAAAATTAAATGCTCAGTTCACACCGTTTTATGAATTGGGAGAATTTTTTTTTAATAAAAATTAGGGTTTTTATTGTGTTTTATCGGGTTTGTTTTTGGAGAGAAACAAATTTAGGAAGGTTGAGAGATAAAAAGAGAGATCGATAGAAAGAAATTAGTTGTTTGTGGGTTTTGAATAATTCGTGTAGAGATCGAGAGGAAGCGATTAGGGGCAAATTGAAGAAAAAGTTTCATTTTTTTTCTTGTTTCAACGATCACTGAGATTCCCACTGATCATTTCGATTCCGTTGTTGATGACGTCATCTCTGGTGGTGGTGACGGAATTGAGAAGAACGATTCTAAACCGGAAATCGAATCGGAGCTCAAAACCAAATCCGACGAACCGGAGATTGATCAAATGAAGAAGCCTGTGGATATGTTTAAGAAACTCAATCCCGAAGCTAAAGAGTTTTTCCTTTCTTACAAGAAGAATAACAATCAATCTCTCGATGATTTCATGGTCGTTAAGAAACAATCTGGTGAAGAAGATGACAATAAGAAAGATGCCATTAACCGGAAGGTAACAATTTCTTCATGTTTCTCTGATTAAAGTTTAGATTTTTAGTTATGGGTTGATGTTTGTTGCTGGAAAAATTTAATGATTCAAATAGAAAATTTTGGTTTTGATTTGGTTGTACAATTCATCAATTGGTGTCTTTACATTGTCTTTGATGATGTTGTTTGCTAAAATTTTGGGTTTTTTTTTTGGTTTGGTTTTGTGTGGACTGCAGAGAAGAAGCAATTATAACCAAAGGAGGAGAGTGAGGTTACCTAGAAGAGCTTCAAAGGCTCAAAAAGAGAAGATAGTATTAGAAGAACAATTTATGTCTAAGTTTTATAAATTTTATTGCAATTATAAGTTTTATAAATTTTGTTTTTTCCCCCAATTCATAAAACGTCACCGTTTTATGTGAACTGAGCATTTAAAAAAAAAATTATCAGATCGGAATAATTAGCCAAGTCAAACTCCGTTAACGGGGAAAGTTAACTCCGTGAACGGAAAATTGACTCCGTTAACGGTTTTTGTAAATTGACCAAGTTTTATAAGATTATGTAGTAAATCTAAAAATAAAAGGAGTTCATGTGTGCTTAGGCCGGAGTCAATACTTCATGTATAAATAATCAACAACAATATAGTACATGGAGTAATAGGCCGTTATCCCGTTTAAACTTTCACAACTGCATCCAACAATCCTTTGAAATTCTTAAAGGAACTTCCTTTCCCATAGATAGCTTCTTGTGCTTGTTCTTGTAGCTTCTTAGCATTACCCTTCATCTTCTTCCCATCATCTTGTACCAAAACTCGATCCAAACATTTCTCGAATCCTTCCTTCGTAAAGACTCCATTGCTAATAGTCATTCCAATCTCCCACACAACCTCCACTGCTCTTCCGTTGAGTCTCTGATCGCCGAAAAACGGTCTGCAAATCATCGGTACACCTCCCGATACACTCTCCAACACCGAGTTCCATCCACAGTGCGTCACAAACACACCCGTTGCTTCGTGTTTAAGCAGTTCCACTTGTGGAGCCCATGGAACCACTATTCCTTGTTCTCTTGTCCGATCCAAAAACCCTACTGGTAAATGAACCATGTTCTTCTCCTTAAGCGACCAAACAAACGGTACTTTGCTCGATTCCAGTCCTTGTGCTATCGCCACAAGCTCTCCAGGAGGCGGTGTCATCACCGTTCCAAAGCTAATGTACGCGACAGAAGAAGCAGGGGATTGCTTCTCGATCCAAGCCAAGCAGCCGTGAGGATCATGCACTAGTGTATCTTTCTGCATTGTCGACGATAGTAACGCGAGAGGACCGATGTTCAGGTAACGTTTGAATATCGATCCGAGGTTTTCAGTCAGTGCAGGATCCAACTCTTCGAAAGAGTTGATGAAAACCGCATTGGCACGAGGTAAAGCAAGACCCATTTGGTGCAACGTATTTGAGAAAACAGAGTCTAATTTCCCAAACACAACTCCTTCTGGTGTATCTTTGACTCTGATCTTCTCCATTCCTGGGATAAACCCTAATGTCTCTTCCATACGCCCATCTACTTCTGTCATTTTTCATAACCAAATCAGGAAATAAATCAAAAACATTACCATAAATACATATAATCATTTGTTTTTAGGTGGAGGGTAGATTTGCAAAATGTATAAAGTTTGAGGGTTTTTGTTGCA